TTGGAGATAGTCTTTCTTTTGTTTTGTTTACAACATGGGTCTAAAGTATCAATGTGCCCAGTGGTTTTTCTACAAGGGAGCACGAAACCATGTTGAATGAGGTTGGTGACGATCAAGGAAACTTTTATTTTCGGGATCAAATTTATGTTGTATTTTTGGAAGCGAAAAGTGCCCGTGCACAGCTTTGATCGATGCTCAAGGTGCGCGAACACCTACCTGTGCAGCTCGCTTTGGCAATATTTGAGAAGGTGAAAACACTGTGAAGCCGAAGGGGCCGAATCACGTATAACGTCGACGACGTGAAGTCTATCAAGGTGGAAGTGCAGGCCAGCAGGCGTTTCAAGGATTTCGGACAGAACAGTTGCTTTAGTGCACATCTGTGTGATCAAACGAACTGTCCGTAACAAATATAAATTGTCGCAGATGGAAACGGATCAAGTAGCGTAAAACAGAAAATAAAGATGTAATCGGCGATAAGATAATGAGGTCAGAAAGAATGGAAAAATAAGGAGGTCATTCTGACCTCCTTATCTTTTACACCCGGGTTAAGAGTAAACTGGAATCTCCTAGAGGGCACGGAGAAGCACTACTTCTTAGTCAGGCGTGCTTAGGGTCTTACTTTAAACTGAAGAATTATTATTATTTTTTCTCAGTTTGACGATGACAAGGCAGGTACGAAACACACCCGTATTAAACTGCTCACGTTAGAGTTAATATAATAGGAGGTATTGTATTGTATTTTATTGTATTCTGCGGCGTAATCTCTCTGAAACAAGAGTCCAAGTTGGACACACCTAAAAGGTTAAAAACGAAAAAAAAAGGAAAATAAAAAAAGTGGGGAGATGGGGGGGCTCTCAGGATTCACCATCTGTCGTCCGTGACCTCTGGTGGGCGGAAGGTAACAGCTACACGATCACGGTGAGTCAATCGGTACGCGCTGACTTCTCGGTCCACAAGTCACCGTGTCACTTTCCACCACGTCCCCAGTCTTCGCCTAGAGTAGGCCACGTGGTCATGTTTATTCGTGAGGCCGAGTGCCTGCTCAGTGCGGGAATCCCCGATGGGTGCTGGCAGGAGCCTCTGGCACGTGAGCAGCAAATGCTCGGTGGTCTCTTCGTCTTCTCCACAGGCGCTGCATATCATGTCCGTCACGCTACCGTCAAACTTTCGGCGGTACTGTCTGGTGCGCAGGGCACAGCCGCGGGCCTCGATAAGTAGGAGGTATGCGAAACCCGCAGCGCTATCTGCAAGGCGCCAGAAGGACGATCCGGACGGGTTGGTGCGCGTTGGAGTGAGCTCCGCAATCTTCTTTTTCTACCGGCTAGAGGCCACTAATTTTGTGTGTACCTCTCTGGAAGCAAGGGGTTGTCACCGACAGCAATGGGAACAACAACGACGTTATCATTTATAAATGCTTTTCGAGTGATAATTGGACAAGAGTGGGTGGTCTTTGAGCACTTAACACGAGAAAACTATCGTCGGTTTTTCCTTTCTCACTTTGACAACATGAAATGATATGGATAAAACTACGCATGGTGGAGAAGTACTTTTTGGGGGCACGAAAATGGGGTGGTGAAACGTTGCGTTCTTCGATTTGCGGTTCTAAGATAATGCGAAAAGCGCCTATGTTATTTTCGCGCGAACGGTCTCGCGATCTGTATTCTTAGCAACGTGATCATAAAGGCCGGTTCACAGATCCAGCGGAGCGCTATCAAGCGCCTCATTAGCGCTGTAAGCAGCGCTCATGTGGCACCGACTTGCGCGTGACGTACCGCTCGATTAGCGCGTCACGCTAATCGAGCGTGACGCGATACCCAAGGACGTTTAAACAGACAGGACCCGGCATGACGTCAGCCTGAGTGAAGCCGGAAGAGGCGTTTAATCCCAGACTGCCTTGCGCACCCGTTCAGAGGCCGTGGGGTAGCGCACCGGCGGTTCATCTGCTTTCTAATCTGCTCCGGCGTGTGCTTCACGAGGCTGGCTTTCGATGCGGTCGGCGTCCGCCGTGGGCGTCCACGATGCAAATGCTTTGCAGCGTGAGTGTTTATACTTAGTTCCACATTATGTGCGAGCGAAGTCAGAACTGGAAGCGCGAGCCCGTTGTTCTGTGCGCTCCTGGCTTGCATGCGCGCTCGTGCGATCTGCTGCTGCTGTTTATGAAAAAATGCGTTGCGCACCGCCAAGTCCTTCACGGTGCGTCGTCTAGAGCGCCTCAATTCTAGTCACTTACTTTCTGCTGGGCAACCAGGCGTCCGTTTATAATAATCTCATCCAATTCCGACCATACCGCTCCCGTTAAGCGCTGTTTCAAATAACAGTGGGTGCCGCCATTACTCTCGGTGCACACAGTCGTGTTGCAACGGAAATGTCATCGTAACGCGGTTGTTTGCACCGAAATTAATGGCGGCGCCCACTCACTAGGCTTCCCATTGGTCAAAAAATGCTCGTTGTGGCTCGTGGCCACGCCTACTTCCCTTACACTTCGCTCCACTCATGGGGGATAGGGACGCCACCTCCTACCCATTATAACCGTGCTTGCTGCTGTGGGACAACACGTGCACGGCGATTCCGCTGTTGTTTTTCCTTTGGTGGTAAAAGAAAAGGAACCGCCATGACACCGGCCTTGAAGTATAAATTCCGCAAAAGCAACAACGGGGAAGATGCCGAAACTGACATGTGCGATCACTGTCAAATATTGGCAGACATCGAACACATTATCTGGGATTGTCCCAAAAGTGACATCAAGCGGAAACTAGCTTTGAATGCTCTACCGCCACAAGAAAGACCATCCTGCCTAAACAAATTGGTCCTTCCATGCAGACGACATCCCCGAGCACAGAAAAAGCAATTTTAGACTCGCTGATAGAGTGCAGCAAGTCCGCCGGACTCTATATTTACATTTAGCCCCAATCCCTCCTTTCCCTCCCACTGTAGCCAATGACAAGTTTCAAGGGCAACAGGTACCCCACCTGAAAATAAAGCATTTTGTCACTCACTCTAGCAAACGGTCGAGCAGACGATCCCGTGTCATGAACTTCGAGCGATTGATTGATTGGGTACGACCTCATCGCTTTCTATTCGACATGCGTGACTGTGGTTTCAAAGACACGCACTTAAAGAATAATCGCCTTCGAAAGAGCTCTGTGTCTTGGTCCCTCAGCCTGGGAACTAGGTTCGCCGGGTACCCGTCGGTATCTTGGTGGCAAAAGATTGCGCGCACCCAAAAGGCTCTTCTGGCCGTCAAGCTCTGCACGCACATCTGCCCTAATTGCGTACCTAACAGGATTTGTCGCTTTTCTATTTTAGCGTCCCACAGGCATAGAGCAATATACACAAGGGAAAGAGCGGAAGGTTGGGCCGGTTCACGGCCCAGATACAGCTCCAATGCCGTCCGCGAAGTGGCGCTACAACGAAAAGTAGTCTGAAAGATTACTGTTTAAAAAGTACTTCCGCTAAAAAGTGTAGTGTTTTAATTATATTTCAAGAATTTAAAACAGTCATATATGTTGACTCGGTTCCCCGTCAGGCAGCTTGGAACGTGGTGCATGCAACGTGAGAGAAGAAAAAGACGTAATTAAAAAAATAGCGCAAGGACTGACATGACTGACCATCATGTCAGATCAACGCCCCCTGTACTAAGATGCTATAATGGCAGTTTAACTTTTGCCGTACTATAATGGCGGCAATGAAAATGAAGTCTGCCGTATTTTATCGGGCACCGTCACTTTGGCAAGTCAACGGCAAACGACAGTGAGCGCTTCACAGTACATTTCCTTCTTAATCTCTTTCAGTGACGACAGAAACAAAGATGAAACCAGTCAGAACGAAGCGTCAACCCACGAACACGGCTTGATAAAGTTCTACAAATCAAGGGGCTTTGGAGCACCTTGATGCTACCAACAGAGTGGTTGGCCCGAGCTAGAAATGAACGTTTATGCAAATCTTGCTTTCAATTCCTGCTTCGCATCGTGCTAACGTCACGACTGTATAAGCCTCGAATTATCTGCTAAGGAGCATCTTCAACTTCTTCGTTCATCAGTAAACAGAAGGCCGCAATTAGTACGGCACATATGCCATTTTTCCGATGATGATGGTGATCAAAGTGGCCAGACTGAATTTCGGAAAGAGTCTCTCGAGTTGCTATTTCCGAAAATCGTTTTGAGCAACGATTAGGGCTGCGCACGTGCACTTTTCACTGGACTACCACAGAAGAACGTTGCCGCCAAGTTGGAATAATTTTATTATAAATTTTTTGTGCTCTGAAAACTTTGTTTGTTTCACGGGATTTGTTTACCCGTCGGATAGGACTATATGTCGTTATAAAAGAAGAACGGGGAGCTGTAATGTATGTCATGCTATGAACATATTTGGGTTTACTTGCCGCAATCCAACAAAGAAAAAAGACGACACTCTATTTTGTATCGCTACTTCTATGCTACGTTCCTATTTTGCGCTCGACGTTCATCTGCTGTTGTGGCTGAAGTAAGAACTTTCAAATGGAAGCAGAAGCGGAGGTAGCTATCGTTGAACGCGATGACGACTACCGGAATGGGAAAACGTTTTACTTCGGCATTGGGGCCATTCTCTTTGTCTCGGCCACCTTCTGCGCAGCGGCTTTCCTGCCCAGACTTTGGCCCCGGAACCTCTACGAAATGACGGAAGTGGTATGTGCCAGCGAATCTTGTAAATCTGTTTCCAAGCTCATCAACAGCTCTATCAACGGCCATCTCGATCCCTGCGATGATTTCTACACCTACGTCTGCGATGGGTGGCGAAGGTCTCACTCATTGAAGTCATCCGAGTCCCAACGGAGCGTCTTTAGCGAAGTAAACGACAGAGTGCGGTCTCAATTGCACGAGTCCTTGTTGCAGATATCGGGAAGGACCACTAACAATACTCGTATTAGAAAATTAGCACTTTTCTACCAAGCCTGCACGAAATCACTTACGCCCGAAGGTAACGGAGTTGTTTCGATAAAAAAATTTCTTCGACGCGTCGGTATGGCGTGGCCGGACGAAGATGTCCGAAAGAACGCTACAGATTTATTGGAACTTTTAGTCACCTTGTCTATGACGTGGAACGTGAATGTGTTGTTCTCGTACTCCATCAAGTCGTTGAGCACGGGAAAAGGAGTCATCACGTTGGGCATGCCTTCTTCCTTGGTTCCAAGTCAGCACAGTGAGGCCAAGATGAGTCTTTACGAAAAGCTAATTGTCAGTCTGGCCTTTCTGTTAGGTAGGAAGAACGATTACAGCGATCTCTCTAGGCGACTCATCTCAATCGAACGAGACGTTGCCAGGTTTCGCAACGAGAGCAAAGTCTCAACCGCATTTAACGTGAGGGACTTGGGAAACCTGTGCGCCGATTTTCCCTGGCAGAGATGGATGCTCGCGCTCAACAAAAACCTTCCTGCTAGGATAGCCCTGACGCCACAGAAGTCAATAATAGTGCATCACCCGTCTTATATTGGTAGGCTCTTGACGTACTTCTTGAACCACGACTCGCCTGAAAACATCAATGCGTATCTTGCGCTCCATGTGCTGCTGAAGTACGGTCAAGCCACATACGACATCCGGCATGTACAGGAAATAGTGATTTATATGAGTAAGGACGTCCCCGTAAGGGATATTATGAGTACCTGCCAGCAGTGGATGAGCACGTTTATGCTCGACGCATGGAACACGTTCGTCTCTCAGGCCCTGACCAGACCTGAAGAGATTGAGAGATTATCTCAACTCGTAATTAATGTCAAGCGCGTGTTTGTCGATCGAATTCGTAGACTGTCGTGGATGGACGCTCGCACCAGGAACATTTCGATTCAAAAAGCGAGCAACATTGCACTAAGCATTCCTAGAGTAGCGGGCCATACATCGTCGTCGAACAAGTCATCCGTGACCTTACCAGACCTGCAAGGAGACTTTCTGGAGATGGTTTGCACGATCGTAGACGCCGTCAGGAACGACGAAGACCTCTTCATCGGCCAAGTGATTGACAGGAGTGATTCGGTAACGGTGCACTCTAATGTTAACGCAGTTTATACCTATAGTCTAAACGTGGTGAACATAAACGCGGCACTTTTGGTACTACCTTTCTACACGGACGATCTCCCGGTGCCACTGAACTACGGTGGTATCGGAACTATTGTAGCGCACGAGATAATACACGGATTCGACGCTAGTGGACGCCTCTACGACGATATCGGGGAATTCGAGGACTGGTGGAGCAACGAAACGAGTTCCACCTACAGAGAAATCTCGGCTTGTTTCCAGGAACAGATGCAGGCACTGTCCCCACGATCCGGCTCCGTCACACTCGAAGAAAACCTTGCGGACAATGGAGGAGTCCGCTGTGCATTCGATGCCTACGTGTTTGCGGCTAGTCAAGACCGTAGGATAATACAACTCAAAGGACTCGACAGCTTCGAAGAGGACCAGCTGTTTTTTCTGAATTACTGCTACAAATTCTGCGGGGTCAACCGTGATGTACATCCTGGGAAGCGCGGAGGAGAGTCATCCTATCCCGTGGAGCGACTGCGCTGTAATGTGCCCTTGATGAACCTTCCGGAATTTTCGAACGCCTTTGACTGCGAGCCGGGAGCCGCGATGAATCCGTCTGAAAGATGTTCCGCCTGGTAGAATCGAAGAGTGTGGTGCTTGGCGCGGAAAATTAATCAAGGGCCAACAAATCATAAGGCTGAGGCGAACCTCAAAACTCGGTGCTTTAACGATTTTTTCTAATTTTATCTTATGTGTAATTGAACTATAGAAACATATTTAAAATTAATGCCTTGTGGTTGATCGGAACATAAAGTTATAACTCACCGTGGATACAAATAAATCTAAGATGTACTTACGGCATAAACCATAGAGTTATTATAATTTACGCTAGAGGTTCAAGTGGCGCCAGTGTGCCGATGCAAATTGAAGCAGAACGCGCAACCAGTCCAAAATTAACTTCCGGTAATGCATTTCTTTGGGAAAAAGTGCGTGCATTTTCTCCCTGCGCTCGGTCATAAAAGCAAATATCCCGAATAATTCGTACGTGCAAGGTAGCTTGGAACAGTTCTCAGTCAGGCCGACGCAATAATTGGTCAGTTACGGTGTTTTCTTTCAAATTCATTGCATTACAAACGGTGCTCAAGCGGCTTCGTACGTGCATTTCTGTGCACTGTCGGACACTGTTAGCGCGAATACCACGTCGGCGCTTTTTAGCATGGGGAATATACGTGCCAAACGAACGAATTACATCTGGAAATTAGGGACTGCAAGAACTACGCAGTAACTCTGGTTCAGCCACTACCCGTGCATGAACGATCAAAATAAATTGATATTCCGATTTTCAATAAGTAAGTACCGCTTTATTCTTTCTGCTCTGTGCGAAACTGCTTTTTCTATGTTCAAAATATCACCCGCACGCTCGAAATGTTTGAGAACAAGTGCCCGATAAAAGCTGCCCTGTAAAGAAAACAATACATAGAGACACCTTTCACAGCCCACATACTTTATTCTTTACGTTTTGAATGTTTTTATTCGCCCATGCACAACAGGGTTATTTTTAATAGTTACAGGTCTGGCATATTATCAATATGTAAGCGTCACCGGAATGTTGGCCAGCCTCGAACACACTCTACATTCCTTTCGATTGTAATTTTGCTTTGAATTGTCGCTTCTTGTTACACACCTGTTGCGGAACACATGTTTCGGACTGAAATGTAGCGAAGTTAAACATCGTTCACTGATGAAAAAAAAAGCGCTAACTAAGGCAATTACACTTTCACAATGTTAAGTAAGTATTCAGTACAGTCCAAATAATCAAAGTGTTATTTTCCGGCGAAGAGACAAAATGCACGCGCTTTTTCCCATAGGAATGCCCAGGTGCACCGCAAAAGTAGACTGGTTGCTGTCTGCTTCAATTTGCGTCACGGAAGTCGCATAGACACTAGCGCCAGTTGAACCTCTAGCGTACATTATAATAACTCTATGGTATAAACATGTTGAGCATGTTTATAGTACAGACAAAATGCTTCTACAAATACTTTTTTTTTTATGGGGTCAATTTACGTTCTGAAAGTTTCAGCTTGCGACTCAAAGGTGGATTGTGAGGCATTTGGATGAGCGTTAATAAGCTTTGTATGGCGTGAATTTCGGCAGTGACGTTCTTGATAAAACAATAAATGGGATCAAACACCGTTTTATGATGAGCTCCTTTAGCATTCCGTCATCCGAATCCCATTCGTGTCAGTCATTCACACTAATAGAAGACACGATGAAAGCTTACGGAAGCAGTCTCACCAACCACGATATAGCTTCGCCCCATAACTGGAAACTCCTCCGAAAACCCAGAGGAGTGGCGGCGAACGTGACAGCGGCGCCTCTAGCGGACTAGGAGTTAACGGAAGCAGACGACGCAATGGAAAAGTATAAACCCCGCGACGTCCTCGAGCTTTGCGAGCCCCGTTTTGTAACCGCAACAGTTAAAACAATTGATTATGGTCAGTCCGCTTGCAAAGCGGAATCCACTGATCGCAACTGCAATGACAATTAAATAACAACGCGCACCTAAACAAAGATAGAGCAGTTTATTTAGCAGTCTCAAACGCCTCTCAGGGGATCACACGCGTTTGAAGCGCGTCTGGGAAGCGGAAAAAAGGCGTTATGCTACTCGAACTACGTCGCACGTGGTTACTGTTGATCTGTTACAAACTGAGATGTTACAGCCGTTGCAGCACAAAAACAAAACAAAAAGCGACGATAAAAATAACCATGCAAACACTTTCCGAACTTTGCAGGAAAGATGAGGTCGCCATCCCAGACGAAAATAAAAATAAATGGGGCACAGTCGCGAACAACGGCGAATAATGCAAAGTATGGCGCACCGTGCATTCACGAGGGCGCCCATCAAGCCACTCTGCCATCTTGGCCGCGAGGCAGCTATGCAGTTGCCTCGCCTCAGACACGATCACATGGTCGCCGCGGGGTCGATCGGGATCTCGAATTCGGCTCCCGACGTGCCGCGTTCTCTCCTAGCCACTGGATGGCGATGGGCGAGGAGGCGAAACTTCCTCGCCCATCGATCGGGATATACTCAATAGACAGGGGGCGAAGAATTTCGGAGACTGACATCCCTCACGGCTCACTGCGGTCCGTGTTGTGAATTACACTGTAGTGTGAATGATACAGTCGAGGACGGAGTTTCGCTGGTTGTTGACGTCACGACATCGTCTGGATGCACCGCTCCGCCTTCAGCGCGAGTTTTCTGCCCTTGCTAACACAAGTGTGAACTCGCAGGCACGCGCAACCAAAACAGTGCGGAAGCCAGCGAGATCGCGCTGAAGGCGGAGCTTCTAGTCTGAGCTTTCTTTTTAGAGCGCAGCTCTTAGACGCGCGTTAGCGGCTTGAGCGGCGTCGGCGTTGCCGTCGCCGTCGGCGTAACCCTAAATCTAATCCCCGCTAAATCTAATAATCAAAATAATCCCCGCTAAATCTAATAATCAAAATAATCCCCGCTAAATCTAACGGAAAAATCTCCCCGCTAAATCTAGATGAAAAATTTCCCCGCTAAATCTAGCTGAAACATTTCCCCTCTGAATCTAGCGGAAAAAATTCCCCGCTAAATTTAGCGGAAAAATTTCCCCGATAAATCTAGCGGGAAAATTTTCCCGCTAAATCTAGCGGGAAAATTTCCCCGCTAAATCTAGCGGAAAAATTTCCCCGCTAAATCTAGCAGAAAAATTTCCCCGCTAAAGCTAGCGGAAAATTTTCCCCGCTAAATCTAGCGGAAAAATTTCCCCGCTAAATTTAGCGGAAAAATTTCCCTGCTAAATCTAGCGAAAAAATTAATCTAGCGGAAAAATTTTCCAGCTATATTTAGCGGAAAAAATTTCCCCGCTAAACCTAGCGGGGAAATTTTGGTAACGGGGGGTCACGTGACCTGGGGAGTCACTTGACTTCTCCCCCTAGGTCACGTGACACCCCAGGTCACGTGGCCCCCTCCCGAGGTCACGTGACCTCGGAGGGGGGTCACGTGACCTTTTTCCTTATGTCACGGGACTCCCCCCCCCCCCCCCCCCCCCGACGTCACGTGACCCCCCCCCCCCCCCCCCCCCGAGAACACGTGGCCCTCAGTATCCTCAGTATCCGAGAACACGTGACCTCAAACACCAATTCAATTTCTAAATTTAGCGGGAAAATGACGTCACATGACTTCGTGTCACGTCACCTATTAACAAATTGAGTTTCTCGTCTAAATTTAGCGGTCAAATTGACGTTACGTGACCTCAGCAGCAATTCGATTCCTCGGTAAATTTAGCGGGCAATGAAATTGGTGTTTAGGTCACGTGACGTCAATTTTCCCGCTAAATTCAGCGCGGTTACGCCGACGGCGACGCCGCGAAACACGGAAACGGGCCCTAAGAAAACCTGCGAGGTAGAAAACTTTCAGGTCCATTAGGATGCCGTAGCCCAGGAGGGTAAATGTCTTCTGTAAATGTTGCAAAGATGTACACAGGGTGTTTCAGAAAACTACTCATCGCAACGAGAAAAGGCTTGTGGTGTTTTGGTCCTCGGCCAGGGGCCCATTTAGGAAAATGATTGAAGTCCGGGATAATTAAGTTGTTAATTAGTTTTGCGTACTTAACTTTTTTAATAATGTGTTTAAAGGCATGGTTTAAATTAGAAAATTGCTCAGCATCATTGAAAAGCGCTAAATCAACGAGTTGCGGAGCGCTAGAGGGCACACGGAGCATTTTAAAGCTTTCTGAAAAACCGCACAAAATCGACGGTTTTTTTAAGTTTCGGTTTGCTATCGGAGCGCATCTCAACCCCGGGGGCACCGCGCCCCGTGGAGAGATAGTGCAACCAACAGATTTAGAAAATTGCTCAGCATCATCGAAAAACACTAAATCAACAAATTGCAGAACGATAGAAGGCACGCGAAGCACTTTACGGCTTTCTGAAAAACCGCACAAAATCGACGGGTTTTTAAGTTTCAATTTGCTATGGGAGCGCATCTCAGCCCCGGCGGCACCGCGCCCCGTGGAGAGATAGTGCAACCAACCTGCTTTTTCAGAAAGCCGTAAAGTGCTTCGCGTGCCTTCTATCGTTCTGCAATTTGTTGATTCAGTGCTTTTCGATGAGGCTGAGCAATTTTCTAATTTAAACCATGCCCTTAAACACAACATTAAAAAAGTTAATTACGCAAAAATAATTAACAACCTAATTATTCCGGACTTTAATAATTTTTCTAAATGGGCCCCTTGCCCAGGACCAAAACGCCACAAGCCTTTTTTCGTTGCGATGAGTAGTTTTCGCAGGAGAGATTCGGCCTGCGTTCTCTGAAACACCCTGTATATCATAATGTTTCCACTTGCCCGTTAGGCTCCGCCCAGTGTCATGCAGATTTGAATAGGTACTTCTAGAGGTGCTACTGTACTAGAGGGCTCTTGTTTCGCACAGGGTTGTACTGGCCCTGACATACTCACGTAGTATAGCCATTTGTCACCTTGTTTTTAAAAGAAGTCAGTATCTGTAATTTCCTCTTCCTTCCACGTGTTCCTATGATGAACTTTGACCAAGCTTCGTTTTGTTTTCGTCGCATCTACAACGTCAAGGCCACGGTGTCAGATTCAGGACATGTG